AAATACTTGTCCTTTTGACCATTCAGCAAAAATTTACAAAAAGCACATACTGCTATGTACCAACTACTGTACTTTCACTGGAAATAGGGAACAAAACAAAGTCCTCCTCTTAAGGAATTCAGTCTAGTGAGGAAAAGAGATAAATACACAGCCAATGATAGTAGTGTATCAGGGCTATGACGGTTATCTACTGCATGCCCTGCGTACAGATATCTGACTAGATAATGGCAGAGTGAAAAGATCACCGAGGACTTTTATCCAAGAAGTAAAACAACTTGATCTGAATTGTGGAGATTACAAATTTGCCAGGTAGACAGGTGGTAGGCAGGTATAGGGGAGAACAGGTGTTTTTGGTAAGGTTCTATCGGGAGAAAGGACAGGCGATGAAAAGATAAAATACATGAAAGAACTGTAAATTTGAAATGGCCAAGACTTACATGCGAGAGATGCGGCTGTAAAACACTCAGTTACATGACTGGTAAGCCAAATTCTAACTTTGATTTACCAAGTTCTAATTTTGTTTGACGTACCAAATGGGAGCAACTGACCCTAAGATAAAGAGTGACCAAAGTCAATGCAACCAGCTGATTGCATTGCAGAAATTGGACAATAGGATATAGTTAAAATTCACTATTTCCTTTCTTCTTTCTACTTCTCTGTATTTTGTACAATTATTTTATATTTTATAATTTCATAACAAATTTTTAAAACAAAACTATATGTATCGGGCAGTCCTTTATGCATTCATGCATAGATGGAATAATCATTTCACATTAAAGGAACTAAGCCTGTGAATGATTATCTTAAAGTGAAAGTACTACAGGCAGTATCTTGTATATTTACCAAATGATTTATAAATTTCATAATTAGCAATAAGTTGGTCTTTTTAGCTAGGGGGAAAATGTGGGGCTTTCTTCCTACAGAATAGTTTTTGATTTGTCACCTCTAATTTAAGGATTGTAACTAAGATGAACACAGGTCAAGTGTCAACAAATGTGCAAAAGAACTAAATTTTATATTATACAAAAAAGGTGCTGTATTGAGATTATTCATATACTTTAAGAAAGTAATTAGCTAAGGGTGGATAAGTGTTCCTATCAGGAGATAACTTTCCCTATAGTATTGTTTTATAACATTTGAATGCTAATCCACATTCCCATAAAACCTCAAATGTAAAATTAAGTCTTACATACATGATTACAAATACATATTCTGAATAATGCTTAGTTTCCTAGAATTGTGCTACTTTAAGATTTTGCTTATAGATGGTAAGATTTAAAAGACTTCTAAAAATTCTTAAATAAGATATAGTATGTCTCCTGAAATCAATTCCCAATAATTTCAACCTCTGACAAGGAACTCTAGTTAATGTTTAAATATTGCATGGTTCTGGGGGCTTCCCTAGTGGTGCAAGGGGTTAAATCTCAGCACTATCACGCTATCCCCAAAATTAACAACACTGTAAAAAGAAAAGTACTACATTTAAAAATTTTTTTAAAAAGAAAATGAAGCTATGTTCAAACTAAACATGTCCCTATAGAATCTATTAACCAATATTTTCAGCATTTTCTCTGTCATAATTTAAAGGGTATCAAAAACGGGGGGGTGGGGAGGGAAATGCTTGGGATTATGGTGAAGGCACACGGGTGACTTGGTGATGGGAAACCCGCAGGGATTACAATTGAGATGGGAAAAAAAATGTACAAAATGATGTAAAAATAAACTTGTAAAATTAAAAAAAATAATTTAAAGCGTATGGTTTGAAATATAGATAACCAAATGTTGTCCAATGCTGCCATTTCAATCTGAGTTATAGAAGACAATCCAGCAAATTCAGCAATGATTCCACAGCTCTTTCTCTTCTTCAATCGTTAGAATTCTGGCTTTGTAAGATGCTTCAAACTTACTAAAGGAATGCAATAATTTTAGGGGGAAATGTCATGAAGTCATTACTAAGTGACTTCCTTAAACATATCTGGCAATATAGTGAAAATGAGTAATCCTCCTGGGACAATCACTTTGAAGAATTACTTGACTGCCTCTTAAAGTTAAAAATAAACCTACTCTATGACCTAGCAACTTGCACTCTTAGCTATTTATCCAAGAGAAATAAAAACAAAATGTCCACAAAAAGATCTGTATAAATTATATAGAAGCCTGACTCAGAACAGACAAAAAAGGGAAACAATCCAAATGTCTATCAATAAATATGGAAAAACAAATTGTGGTATATTGATACATGGAATATATTCAACAATAAAAAAGAATAAACTGCTGATAAAACATAACAAAATCAATAAATCTCAAAAACATGTTAATCAAAAGATATTAAAGAATGTTTCACTATGTGAACATTTTTACTGTATATAAACAAAAATCTATAAATAATAAAAAAAACCTAAACTAGAAAAATGTTCAATTGGATCCATAAATGCACAAAACCCCACCTGTTCTTGGACATTTGCAATGGCTCTTTCTGCAATGTTTTCCCACTTCCCCTTTGACTAGTTAAATACTATTCATTGTTCAGATTTTTTTCATTTTATGTATTCACACAAGAATTGGGATGTAGGCCAGAGGTATGGGAAGGCGTGAGAGAATTCACCAGCAAGGGAGTTGAGAGCAGTATAGGCAGACTGACGAAGTTCCTGCTGATGGGAGCAGTGGGTGAGACAGGAGAGATCCTCTGCGCCACGTGGGTCACCTCCCTGGCCAAGGATCGGACTCGTGCTTGACAGTGCTGAAACATACCCCTTGTACCACCAGGGAGGCCCTCATTGTTCAGATCTTAAACACTCATGACCTGATATTCTCTACCCCTTCCTTCAGATTTGGTCAGGTTTCTCTTAAATATTTTTATGATTCCCTATATAAGAACTTCACTGAATTTATCAGTTTGGGAGTTTATGTTTTTGAGATCTATGATTTTGATTGTTCTTCTATTTTTTCACAGTATAATATAAATAATAATATATAAAAGCCATTATTTCAATTGCATTTTTCTGTTATTTGTAGATCCTCAATGAAATTCATGGCCCCTGTACAGTGACAAAGTAACCTTACCCAAAGTGAGATCTGACCTTTGCATCTGGCTACTGGGAAGTGGTTATCTGAGCCCCTGGAACCTAACAGGAGTATCTTCTTTTGCCTGGGGGCTCTGGCCTTAGACAAATGTGATTCATGATGGGGGTTCTAAACCAATCCTAAGAGGAATTAGAGACCAAAAATACCCGTATGACATATAGGAGGGCTAAAGACTACACAGAAGACTTGGGTGAGTTTCCCTGGGTGGAAATACCATGTGTGTGTGTTCACATACTGTGGCTAGGAGGCAGAAATGCCATCCATGACTTCACAGGGAAAGAATGACAGGAAGTTCTACATTTGTACTTCTCCAGATTCTACTCTATGTGTCTCTTCTTTGGGTAATTTGTAACTGTAACACTCCCCTGTAATAGAACATGATCACAGTACATTTCAGTGAGTTCTTTCTTATGCACAATCAAATCTGAGGCTTACAGAAGAGGCTCCTGAACTTGTCACTGGTATCTGAAGCAAAGGCAGTCTTATAAGGACTATGCTCTCAGATTTTACAGTTTAGCTAAACTTACTACAAGCCCAAAAAGGTTAAGGATAGGCTAAACTCTGAGTTCCCCTAGAGCTGAATCTTTATCCTCAATGACACATAGGGAAAAAATAAGGTATTTGAAATAAATTGATATTCTCTGGAAATCAATAGTCTAACAATAATAGCAACATTAGTGAGAATGATGATAAAAACAGCAGCCATTTACCACATGCCCTTAATATAACTCCATTTACACATGAGGAAATGAGCATTTGAGTAAAATGACTTGCTCAAGATCATACCACTAAGTGATAAAGACAATATAAATGGACTTTATTGTATTGATTTCATAATCAATCAGCTAAATTTTGCAAAGGACAAACATAAATATCCAGCATTGCCATCACTAAAATAGCATCATTAGAGACGAGTCACTGCTAGCATAGTTCAGGAAGGTGGAGTACTTTAATTCCCCTTGTTTAACTAAGATTTAATCATAGCATTCCAATGCTTAATTATAGCTTGCCATTGAAATTCTTCGAAACAGAATATTAACTATATAGCTCAAAAACAAATTAAAAAACCTAATTTGTTCTGTATTATCAAGTGTTAAACACAAAGTCGAAGTACCTGAGGTAGATAAACAGGACTTCTGCTAAGAAAATCACCATACCCGTTACCCCAATCTTTAAGTAATGGACACCATGCTCCCTCTTACTGATATATTTTCCTTTATAAATTATTCATTCTCTTCCTCTATAACTTTCACTCACATCCTGGAACTGTCTTAATGGCCTCAAAGAAAGGCTGAAGGAACAATAATTTGTCCATCTGTGTAAGACCAGTTGGAATGTCACAAGCTGAAAACTATAAGTCAAAGGGATTAAAGGCTTTGAGACTAAACCTGTTGGTCATAAACAGTTCTTGCCCCCCCAATTAAATACATATATACATACGTACACACACACACACACACACACACACACAAGTATAGTAATAGGGTAACTAGGAGACACTCTGAATGGAGAACTTGATAAAGTAGTTATAAGAAAAACAAAAAGCTTTTCAAGCAACTGGCTGTAATTAATAAATTACATTAATTAGTTTTATATAGGTCCAGAACAAAATTACATACTGAATACTATTCACTGAGGTCACTTAAATCACTATCATATTTCTATGAGATAAGAGAATAAATAGTCAACTGTACTATGACAATTCTGGTAAACCAATTATGACGAAAATATTTTGATAGATCAGTCTGGATCTACATTAAAAAATGAATCATTAAAAGATTATTGGATGATGTGAGATACAGGCAAAATGAAGGATAAGAAGTGAATACAAGTGTGGGAAAGAAGGGACACACTAATGAATTAAGACAAACACATGAATTTAGCCCACAAATATCCCACAGAGACAGAGAAGGTACCTGGAAAGCTGTGAGTGCGCCAGTCCCTGGGTTATACAGGCATCGCAGCGAAGGCATGCTGTCCGCCAGGCTGGAGCAGCCCAGCCACAGAGACCTGGGCATAGAGCACTGCAGAGAAAGGACAACTATGAGATGGAACAGTATGAGACAGGATGGCACAGATTACAGGAATTATCAAGGCTTGGTTGAATGCAATATTCCAGTTGCAGCTGACCTCTATGATAGAAACATCTACAAGAAACATGCTACTTATCTAATCCCAGAAAGAAACTCAAGAGGGGTGCTAGTAGCCAAAAAGCAAGGGTGGAGAAAGAGGTTATAGGTCCAAAAGTCAAATATTTAATATAAAAAAATTGTATCTGTTCGTCTATGAGTCTAAAGGAAATCTACTATTTAATCCAATTAAATCAATTATGTTCCTCCATGTACGTCATCACCCATAAAATCACCAGAGTTAATACAGTACAAACTAAACAGAAAAAGGAATAGCCCATGGTGGCATTTCAACATCAGGATGGTAAGTTGGAAAACAAAATACCACAGGAAAGTTAAGGGTTTTTGTTTTTGTTTTTTTAAGGGAAAAGGAAGGAAAAGAGAAACTGCTATACTCCTATAGCTTTGACAGTTTCTATCTCTGCATGGTTTGCATGTGTTTTATGTATCTTGTTAGCCTGCTATTCATTAACCAAAATGCACAGTTACTATAGCAGCTGCCTCTTCATCTTTCCAGATGGATTGTATGTGTGTGAGAGATAGAGGTGGAGGGAAACAACCAAACAAAAGGAGAAATAACAGCAAACAAAGAGATAGAAAGCGAGAACCCCAAAAGCTGCTGAAATTAAAATTTTCTAACCTAAGAAGTATTAATAAGTGATGCTAATTATTAGCTAATAATAATTATTAATCAATTAGAATACTAATTTAAAATATTCATGTCATTACTCCTATAGCTTTATAAAATACTATCTTTTAAAGTTTTAAGTCTTCAAGTTTCTCTAAGTATCAGACTGAAGTTTTGTCCATCAATTTTTACCACTATTACATTCTAATAACAATAAAAAACTAAATACCTGATCATAGCACATATAAAAAAATGTATTTTAAAACTCTAACAGTCAATACACACTACAAACTTCTTTTTATTGTTTTAAAGATTTATTTAAGAGCTGAGGTGTAGGAGGTGTGGTAGGGGCGAGAGGATTCACTAGTAACACAGCAGGGAGGAGAACAGATGGATCTACTGAAATACACTACTGAGGGGAGAAATGGGCAAGACAGGAGAGGTCTGCTGTGCCGTGTAGGTCAGCTCCCTGGCTGGAGATCGAACCCAGGCTGCAGTGGCAGGCAATATCCTGTTAGTGCTGAGACTAAACCTCTTGCACCACACCAGGGAGTCCCCCACACTACAAATTTTAAATTACAAGTTTTAAAATATATATCATCCTATCACATTTTTTCTTCTTAAGACACTCTAGTTGTAGGAATAATAATATTGGGAAGCAAAATATGGTGCTCACTGCTTACACAATCTGCAACTGATATAAGGGTAGTGTGCTGCAAAATGCATCAAAAAATCCTCTAGTCTTTATTCCTACTTTCACATCATTGTTTCCTTATTTTCAGTTAATGTGACTGATATAAAGAAATGTAAGTATTTATCCATGATTATAAAATTTAGAAAGTAGAAAAGTAGGGAGTTACAACAGAATCCTAACCTTATTGCCTTAGTACACACAGCAATTAATAAATGTCTTCACTTTGTTATCACAACTTTCTTGTTAATAATTCACAAAGGCTCCCGATATTGGTTGTATGGAATCCAAGCACTCTATCAAACTGACCTTTGCCTATATTAACCTTCTCTGTCCTTCCAGTTGGTTCCCACACTCAAGCTAATTAACTAACTACCCTTATATTTTGTTCATATATTCATCTTACAACTTTAAACTTGTAGGGTCCTCCTTTTCACCCCGCCACTATACTTCTACCATTTACCTCTTTTCCTCCTTAGAATGACTTATACAAATTTCAATTTCATCCAGTGGTTCTCAGTAGCAGAGAACTTCATAATATATGACAGCAAGAAGAGGAAGGAGGATTTTTCAAAAGGCTCTTTTCTTTGAAAATCACTGTTCGGGCCCTCCTTGGTGGCGCAGTGGGTTAAAGCACAGCACTAAGAAGCTAAAGCCATTTCCTCATTGAGTTCGATCCCGGCCTGCCCCGGAGGTGATCCACAAGGTGCAGCAGACCTCTTCTGACCCACCCGCTGCTCCCCTCAGCAGTGTACTTCATCAGTTGGCCTGTTCTGCTCCCCACTCTGGTGTCTCTGGTGAATCCTCTCACCACCCCTGTATCTCTGGCCTGTACTCCAGTTCTGTATGCACAAATAAATAAATCTTAAAAAAAAAAAAAAAGAAAATCACTGTTCACTTATATTACTATATTATTGCTCTAAGTGGAAGCATTAAGGCTTCACCAAAATAATTCTTATATAACTATATTTAAAAGACCATCACTGGATTAAAAAGATGTGGTACATGTACACAATGGGATATTACTCAGCAATCAAAAAAGATAAACACATGCCTTTTGCAGCAACATGGATGGAGCTGGAAGGAATCACGCTTAGTGAAAAAAGCCAGAAAGAAAAAGAAAAATGCCAGATGGTTTCACTCATAGCAGAAGCATAAAGGACCAGGGGGGAAAATAATAGTAATAATGAACAACTATATACCACAGACATTTTTAGGGGGTGGAGTGGGGAATAGGGTCGAAAACAGTGGGGAGAGGGAAGTGCACTGGACTATGGTGATGGCACATGTGTGATTTGGTGATGGGAAGCCCACAGGGATTACAACTGAGATGGAAAAAGGCACAAAAGGATGTAAAAATAAACTGTTACATTATTTTTAAAAAGGATATCTAATGTTTAGAATGTTTAGTCATTTATTCGACAACTATTTAGCATCTGCCTTAAAACTAGTCATTGTTCTAGGTAGTGGGATAGAACAATGAACATGAGACAAAACATCTTCACATTCTCTCATATTCTCTTAATTCTTCCATATTTGGGCCCTCCCTGGCATGCAAGGGACTAAAGCACAGCACTATGAAGCTATCCAAAGCCATTGCAGCACAAGTTCAATCCCCAGTCAGGGATGTGACCCACCACAGTGCAGCAGACTTCTGTCCCACCTGTTACACCCCTCAGCAGTGTATTTCAGTCAGTCGATGTGTTCTGCTCCCCACTCTGTCTCTGGTGGAACCTTTCATCCCCACACCTCTGGCCTACACCCCATTTCTTGTACGCATAAATAAATAAATCTTTCCAAAAATTCTTCCATATTTGAGAGTCTTAGTATTCAAAAAAAACACACCAGCTTGCTATGTGAGTTTATTCATTGTTAGTGAGAGACACTGTACATTATTAAGCATCTGGTTACAGCTCTGTGTATGTCTGTGTATGCTAGGGTAAAAGAAAATCTCATTCTGAAGGAGGAACTGACTGAATTTGGAAAAAAAAAACAAAGTGGGAAAGAGAGAAGAAATGAGAGTAATTAAGTAGAGGTAAAGGGAGCATGAAATATAGGAGAAAGAAACAATGGAAGAAAACAGAGCACCAGAAGACAGCATGTCATTTCTCCCAAGTATGGCTCATACATGGTTAGCAATACTGAAGCCACCTGTATGGTCTCCTCTTCTATTTTCTATTTGCATTCACGAATGCTCCTTAATAAATTTTAAGGCATTTGTCTTACAATGTTTGTCTCCATTACATATATATGTTTTTTAAAGATTTATTTATGATTTATTTATCTATACATACAAGAACTGGGAGGCAGGCCAGAGGGATGGAGGGTGAGAAAATTCACCAGAGACAGAGTAGGGAGCAGAACAGGCAGACCAACTGAAATACACTGTTGAGGGGAGCAGCAGGCGAGACAGGAGAAGTCTGCTGCACCATGTGGATCACCTCCCTGGTGTGGGATTGAACTCGTGCTACTGAACAGTGGCTGTGGACAGCTTCACAGTGCTGCCCCTTAACCCACTGCGCCACCAGGGAGAGCCCATTTTATATTTTTATATTAATATGTGTTTTTCCTGCACCATGTACTAAATTATTTGTCATTCCTTACTTCTACTCATTTTAATGCTCTTCCTCATTCACTCAATAGATTCTTCATCAAAATTTCTAACAATTAAGAGTTTGAAAGGGAGCCTCCCTGGTGGCACAAAGTATAAAGTTTCAGCACTATGATTCTATCAGCAGTCATGAGTTCAATCCCCAGCCAGAGAGCTGACCCACATAGTGCAGCAGACCTCTCCTATCTGGCCCACATTCCCCTCAGCAGTGTATTTCAGTCAATCTGCCTGTTCTGCTCCCCACTCTCTGGTGAATGCACTCCCCCCACCCCTTGTACCTCCAGCCTGCACCCCAGCTCTTGTATATATAAATAAATATAATAAATCTTTTTTAAAAATTTGTAAAGGCTCACTCTGTCCCCTTAAATTAAAATTCAAAAATATTATAATCAATAATGAGCCACATACACCCAGGAAAGTCACTAGATATACTAGTGTGATTTCTAAAATAGCATTAACTTGCAAATACCACACAAAGGATGCATTCCCGATTATTACTAGACAATTGGTGTGGGTATGAAAACTGCATTGAATACAGTCTGATCTGCACATTACCATAAGATTTTATATATTATGGCTCAATTTAAAAACCAATTTTCAAATTGGTGTGTATTATAACAATTAATCTTAACAATACTAGTAAATGCCACTTGAAAACATTAAGGAAAAAATATAATTACAAAATTAATGGGATATGCTACAACTTGTATTCTACCTCTTTCACTCCTATCTTCAGACTCAGGAGCACTTTGTAAAGAAGGGGGAAATCTGGACAATAAGTAGCAGCCTGAAAAACCATCATTTTGGTTACTGTTCTTACAGTTTTTCTTACATAATTTATATATTTCAGGGTGATAACTGGTTTAATTTCTGACAAAGATATAAGGCATGTTCTATATTGTAACACTTAATAAACAATCCCTTTAATTTTTTTTTATTTATAATACCTGAGCAGCACATGCAGT